CAGGCTGGGGTGAGAGGAGACCCCAAAACTGGCCGGGCCCCCCCGGCACCCGGTGGCCTGTGAGGAATTAAGCTATGTTTCAGCTGAAGCTAATCACCAGCCCCGGCTTTGCATATTCATGAGGCAGATGAATTATTCATGAGGTGACAGCTAGTGACAGATGTGAAAATGTTCGCCTGGGTGGGGGGGCAGCTTTGCACCGGCCTTATTTTAAATTTCTCTCGTCTGCCGTTCCCCCGGCTGGGGCTGGGCCGCTCGGGGGACGGGGACGCGCTCCTTGTCCCCGCAGGGTCCCAGCTGCGTGGCACCGGGGACCTCGCTGTGCCCTGAGCCCGTGGCATTGCCATGACTGTGGAGAGACACCCCCTGCGAAATTCAGCCCCTCGGGCTTGCGGTGGCATGGCCAGCGCTGGCCCCCCGTGCCACCCTCCTTGCCCTGCTGTCCCCGCTGGGGATGGCGCGGTGATGCTCGGCGTGGCTGAGCCCGTGGCCCTTCCATGGGGACCCTGGCGGGATCCTGCCCCAGCGGGATGGGGCTGATGCTGCTTCCACCCCTGGGCACAGAGGCTGGTGGTGCTGAGCCATGCTGGCAGCAGTGTTCCTCTGCCTGCGGTGGGGAGCCAGGATCCGGCCAGGGCTGATCCCGGTGGTGCTGCGGGGTCGGGACTCGGCTGTGCCACCCCCGGGCTGCCTCACCGGCGCTGCCGGAGCGGGATTGTGGGTTAGTGGATCAAGAGGAGGTGGAAGGGAGACGGTCTCAATAATTAACGAGGCACCGAGGCTGGGAGGACGCTGCCTGGCTGCAGCTTCAGCAGCCCCCGGCGCGGCGTGGGGGTCCTTGCACCGGGGACGCCACGTGTGGTGGCTCCGGCACTGGCAGGGATGGAGGCTGCCTTGCTGCTTGCCCTGACCTTGGGATAAACTTTTTGCTGGCTCAGCGCAGGGCCGGGCTTGGCGGAGGTGGCAGCCGGGGGTCCGGTGAGGGGCTGGGGGGAACAGAGCACGGCAGGGACCTTCCTTTGTCTCCAGGGCTTGGAGCGGAGCCGTGGTGCCACCGGGAACATGGTCCCTGCATGCTTCGAGGTCAGGGGTGCCAGCTGGGTGGCCCCAAGGGAGCGGCAGGCTGGGGCTGTGTGTCCTGTCCCTGGGGAGCCCGGGACCCCCCTGCCTGCGGGCCGGTTCCCCACGGAGGCAGCGGGTGCTGCTGGCGGGGCCGGCCCTTCCCACCGCGGCACCTTCCCTGCTGCGAAAGCAAAACCTGCAGA